CAGGCCTTGAACCGCGATCATTTACAAAGGTAACATAAACACCTATCAGATTGTCTTCCACCATTTTAGCATTAAGTACTGTTGTAGACAATACTATTTCCCCTAAGATCCAGGCATTGTCCTAACCTCTTCATATTTTCGTTAGATGTTTGTCTTGACTCATTCCGAAAGCCGACATTTAACATTTAAAGCACCATAACTAACAACACAAAAATCTGCCTAGTTACGAACTTAGTTAAAGTGGATTTGATTCAATCCTTGACAACTATGCAATGCTGCATGACATCATCATCATCATCACCATCATCATCGCTGTTACCAGTATTTGTAAAAACCCAAAGTTGTTGATCTCATAGAAAAGGTCATTGCTGTTTACTGGAATCAAATATACATTATGCTATAAAATGAAATTTTAACATTCAAGAAGCATTCAAAGTGATCAGAAGGGGAAAACCAGATATATATTTACAGTAAACTACACAAGAAATATAGAATCAAATATTGTGTAGAAGGTTATCCATTTAAACATCAACTTAACGAACTGTCAATTGACAAACATAACTATGATGATGAAACACACCAACCTTCAAAAATAAAAAATAAAATTTCTGTGAAGTCTTGACAGTTGTATGAGCTCCACCCAAACACTGATTATAACAGTTCCTATATCTAATGGCTGTATGTCTACAATATACACTTGTTGAACATCTTACAAAAATTTTTCATGTATGAAATAAAACCAACCTCCAAGTTGACTGCGGACATGTGAGCAACACATGTATATTTGAAGTAGAACAGCATAAAGCCATGTTTATCAAACGTTACTATACATCTACTGTAAACACTGATAATCTCACCTTTGTCATAGCCACTCAACTTTCAACAAAAAACTTTACACAAGTTTAACTGACTCGTATTTGTAAAACATGCACTCCATTTGCACTGCATGTCAAAAACAACCAAAACCATTTATCTTACTATTGTGACTACAATTTTTAACTTTATCCACATTAGGTAAACTAGGTGCCACAATAATTGTGGTGTTCATATTAGACCTGTTTAACTTGTGTGTACAAATGTGTTACTCCAGTTATTATTAAATAAATTCATTCCTTCTTCTATAACAGAATGTCTACACATATACTACCATCAGACCCTAAAGGTGGGTTGTTCAAAAAATCTGGGACAGCTGCTTCAACTCAAAACATGGCCATAATCAAATAGGGAGGGAAAAACTTTTGTGTAATACTTAGTGATAGGGTACAAAGCTAAAGTCTGGTTAGAACTATCCATTTCCACTCTCCTACCTCCTCTTTGATGTAAAGGAAGCTGGAGGTTCCTGGCGGAGGGCAGGACTCCATGTCCTACACAGCCCTCACTAGACTGACATGTGTTTGTGATAAAGAAGAATCACTTTGCCATTCTACTCTTACAAAGTAATCAAATAACCTAGTGATTTGAATAAAACCAAGCCTCCTCAGTAAGCCTCCAATATCAAAAGTTTTTCTCATCCCTCCCTTTTGTCTTAAATTCTATCATGGACATGATTTTCAAATTGGCCTGAACCAAAAATGTTTCTGATGTACAGGAGATGTACAGACACAGTGTGCTAACTTCCTCTATAAAGTTGTGTGTGTTAGGTCTAGACGGAACATACTAACTTACTTTGTAAAGTTATAAAGTGTGCTAGGGTCTAGGTATAGTATGCTAACTTCCAAAATAAAGTTGTGTGTTAGGTCTCGACGAAACATACTAACTTTGTAAAGTTATAATGTGTGCTAGGGTCTAGGTATAGTACGATAACTTTCAAAATAAAGTTGTGATGATGTAGTGTGCTAATTCCTCTGTAAATTTGTAATGTGTGCTAGGGTCTAGACCGTCTGATAAGTCCCTCTATAAGGTTGTGATGCGTAGGGCCCTGATGTAGTGTGCTAATTCCTCTGTAAATTTGTAATGTGTGCTAGGGTCTAGACTGTCTGATAAGTCCCTCTATAAGGTTGTGATGTGTAGGGCCCTGATGTAGTGTGCTAATTCCTCTGTAAATTTGTAATGTGTGCTAGGGTCTAGACCGTCTGATAAGTCCCTCTATAAGGTTGTGATGCGTAGGGCCCTGATGTAGTGAAGCATTCTATTGCAACTTCAATTTAAGAAGAAATCTTAAACTTGTTTACCTTACCAAGACTTTCAATTTTGATTGTATTTTTTATTTAAAAAATTTAGTAAAGAAAGTTTCACCTTTTTTTCAATCAATAATTTTCATTTAAAATTTCTGATGTTTCAAAATGGAAGACATCTATTGCTTTAATTTCCATACATGAAAATAGATTATAGAAAAATGAACATATCTGAAGCAGCTATCCGTATTGTATAAGTACAATCTGTTGATCACACCAATTTTTTCCTCCATTCAGTTTACTTCATTGAAACAAATTGTGTTTATTAACATAGATATGGTAGATATGAATCTACTATAACCTGTAATTCTAAATAAAACTGATATCCTCCCTAGATCTATACATAACAGAGATTCTGTTGGTGAAGATTGAGTATACCAACCACCCACCAAAACCCCAAACACCGACACTTTAGAACTCTCCTCCTTAGAAGATCTATAAGTAAGCTACTTGACTCGAGCCTTCCTAGTTGAGCAAGGCAAAAAATATCTGATTTCCTTGATAGATACATGTAATTTTCTCCTCTTTGATTCAAATATTTCTTTTGAGGAGAAATATAACCGGTATCAAAGGAATCTTTTTTCTCTGCCAGTCAGATATAAATCTAGATGGTTCGTAAAGCGCCACCTGCCCACTGATCTAAGTAGATGTGAAGCTAACCCTTGCCCAAGAACTATTGGCCTATAATCACAATTCAAATTCGAAATTTATAATGTTTCAGAAATCTGTTGACAGAAATAGTGCTTAAAAGCAAAAATTGGACTATTCTTCAGATAGAAGTATCATACCCTGTACCCGGATCTTAAAGAGTCTGTAATATCTATCTGAATTTTACCAACATCAGTAATAACTTTTTTTTATCATCCTGTGAGTACGGATATGTATCAGTTACATCCATAATGACTGTAAGAGTCTTCACGCCGTGCCAAACAGACTCAAGTTCATATCAGCAGGAATACTCATCTGGTAATTTCATGATGATTGGCCATCAGAACAAGACATTTTTGTCCACAGTGTCATTAAAAGAATTTCCTAATTCTTAGATCTGGGTTTTTGACTTAAACTCTTGATTCAAAGCATGTTTTTCAATAAATATTTCCTCTACGTCCAAGGGGCCAAACATTCTACTTAATTGAGTTCCAATCACCTAAGGATGTTCAAAACCAAATATCATCTATATATGTATATTCAGATTATTGTGATTCATATTTAAAGGTATGATTAATTAAATCCAGAAAATGTTATTTTTATTTCAATCTTAAAATCATACTGTATATGGTTGTAAATGACGGCTCTCGACTATCTTATTCAGTCACAAACATGTAATGGACAGTTACTCGTAAAAAACTTGGTACTGATGTCTGGTATTGGTGTTCTGGTATTCTTGGTTTAAATCACTATTTTTTATTTTTTCTGGAAGCGTAACCTATTACAGCAAATAGTGTATGCGATATGCCTTGACAAAATGGCCATTTAAAAATAACATAACGGTCCGTAATCAATGTCAAGACAATACTCTTTATTTGTGTTTTCAATCTGCTTATTTCTTTTTCGTCTACATATAAGTCGCACGCCCGACCGGTACAAGTCGCACACCCGACCGGTACATTACAATAAAAAAGAACAAGAATCTTAAAGATTTGCATCAAGAATTTTTGGTCCTTGGGCAGACAGACAGACAACTGCTATAAACATCACACATTCTCCCTGGTTCTTTAATTTGGACAAGGTGAGCTAAAAAAAAACCTGTTCAAACCCTATATATGTATTACCACTAGTTAAGCTACTCTTGACTCCTTACACACCGCCACAGGGAGTCATTCACCAATACCTACAGAATATCAACTCCTATATAGATTTATATATATATCATGTACAGCAAACTCATATCTTTGATACAGTTGCCAACCTTAGACTTCATATAAAGATAAGTAAATATCTGGCCTTTTAACTTGAACACTTTCTGTGCCTTTGAAGCTGCACTATAGACAGCTCTGGCTGAGGGAATGTTGTTGAGGAGCAAGGCACCCCGAACCCCACACCACTAGTACAAAGACATACCTGATCAGTGTATACAGCTGCTGAAGCCCTTACAGAAACACACCAGTAGCTAGTTAATTTCACATGGCGTAATTCCTCAATTCCACAGCTTCACTTGTCAGTTCTTATGTTCGAAAACCATAAACCTCTGTATGTATATGTTAAAAACAGTACACACAAACGTTTGTGTACTTGTCAGTGTTTCTCTGATCTTTTGTAATCTTCATATTCACTAAACATAACCAAGGTAAACCTGTCTTGTTTTTCTCTTAACAAAGACCTTCAAATTCACAACACAAACAATATAGAATTCTGACTAATAAAAGAAGAAAAACACCACATTAAAATGAAACTTGTACAATAGAGTGCCATGCACATGTAGAATGTAACAGAACACAAGACATATTCACAAAAGATCTTTATAGTGCTCAAAGTTATCAAGGGCCGGAAACTTGTCTGCATTTTCAACCATATCAAATCTCCTTCTGGTATATGGAGGGTCAAATTCTTATAACAAACATTTTAACCTTGAAATCCATTTTTTAACTATAAAGCATTAAAAAGGAAGAGAATTCTTCAAATATCTTTTATCTTACTTTACAATGTGACCTTCAAATGTAACCAGCTAATCATTCTAGTGACAAACACCTGGCAAGTGTCTCAGTAATGATCCAAATACTATTTGGTATGTAAATACCTTTCATGATGTATCTTCAACAAACAATGAAAACTGCAATGATATTTAACAATGAGCGAGGCGATTAAAGCTGATGTGTTTGTACTTACGGAGATGGAGTGATTGAGGTTGTAGTTAGCCAGGTTGAAGCCTGTTGTTTTTGTCTGTTTCAGAATCTGTTCTTCTAAAGCTTTATTAAGTCTGGCATTCACCAGGAAACATTCAGCTACAAAACAAAACACCAGTAAACATCAGGATATGGAAATGAGTAACATTAAGGACATATTCAAATAGATCTAATTAACTTCAATTAACTCCAAGAAAAATAAATGAAACACAATATCATTGTACATAGAAGAACCAAAGAAATCTCTACAGAAGACAACTGCTAAGATCGTGATCAATGTAGCAGTCTTTGAAAAGAACTTTTTTTTAAATCTGTGGAATTCCGAACCGCAGATCTGAAAGATTCACAGGAAGACTTCAGAGGATTTAAGCCGGAAGATGCTGGAATGTATTTTTGTTTAAATTGTCGCAGTAAAATGGAGAGAAAGTATATGTTGTTCGAGTTGTATTCCTTATGGCTTTGTGCTTTATGTCATGTAACAGTTCAGAAAAACCAAGATAATATGCCTAAGTATCGGTCTCCAGTGTATCGTTTGTAAAATCAAACATCAAATATCAACAAATTATATCTTATACCATAGATAAACAGCACTGTAACCATTATACCATAGATAAACAGCACTGTAACCATTATACCATAGATAAACAGCACTGTAACCATTATACCATAGATAAACAGCACTGTAACCATTATACCATAGATAAACAGCACTGTAACCATTATACCATAGATAAACAGCACTGTAACCATTATACCATAGATAAACAGCACTGTAACCATTATTATACCATTATAGATAAACAGCACTGTAACCATTATACCATAGATAAACAGCACTGTAACCATTATACCATAGATAAACAGCACTGTAACCATTATACCATAGATAAACAGCACTGTAACCATTATACCATAGATAAACAGCACTGTAACCATTATACCATAGATAAACAGCACTGTAACCATTATACCATAGATAAACAGCACTGTAACCATTATACCATAGATAAACAGCACTGTAACCATTATACCATAGATAAACAGCACTGCACTGTAACCATTATACCATAGATAAACAGCACTGTAACCATTATACCATAGATAAACAGCACTGTAACCATTATACCATAGATAAACAGCACTGTAACCATTATACCATAGATAAACAGCACTGTAACCATTATACCATAGATAAACAGCACTGTAACCATTATACCATAGATAAACAGCACTGTAACCATTATACCATAGATAAACAGCACTGTAACCATTATACCATAGATAAACAGCACTGTAACCATTATACCACAGATAAACAGCACTGTAACCATTTTAATCATTATGACAAATTGTTTAGGATGAACAAAGCAGGTTAATACTGGCCATGTTTCATGTATTTCCTTTAGGGCTTTAAGTATTGGAATAATATCCGGGTTTATGTAACATGTTGAACTAGTTGACCTTAGTCCCACAACTACATGAAATTTGACAAGTCCGCAAAGCCAAAAAAATGATCTATACATGTAGAGATTCCAAAGCTGATAGGTGATCAGAATGTTGATATCATTTATCTAGTTCAAAGGCAATACATGTATATATACTGACAGATTACATGCCTGATATACATGTAACGGCCAAGTACACACCAAAAACAACCTAAAATAACTAGATCAGTGTTATCACTTAAACATCTGGCAAATGCATTCTTTAAATGAACTAATTAAGAGTGAAGAAAACTGATTAATTATATCAAATTTTACACAAGCACTATATGCCCCAAGCTTACAATAATTCAATCAAGTTTTTGATATTTTTTTTAACATGATTTTTTTCAGCTGTAAAGTACATGTGCCAGTTATGCCTTTTCCCCTCCAGCTACAAAAGACTTAAATTAGGCCTGCTAATTACATAATCAAAGAAAGCCTTGTGCCATTATCCCACGTGTCCCAGTTTTAAATTGATGATATGTTCAGGTCCTAATTCCCACACCACACATGCTGTCCACCATCTTGCCCCCAGGCAGATTTTCACACCGATACCAGCACAAGTTGGTCCAATTATAAGGAATCAATCACATGTCTCTATACCACTGTGACCATTTGTCATCACACAATCGTTGCCGTGGTGACATGCTCTCTTCCTTTAACCAAATTTTTTTGTTCACATGATGCTGTCATTGACCTTTTATGAATTTTAAAATCTTGAACACATTGCCTTTTTTTATTCATCATAGAACACTGGGGTAGGTGAGTACTTCTCCAGTCTCCCACTCTACATCACAGAACACTGGGGTAGGTGAGTACTTCTCCAGTCTCCCACTCTACATCACAGAACACTGGGGTAGGTGTGTACGTCTCCAGTCTCCCACTCTACATCACAGAACACTGGGGTAGGTGAGTACTTCTCCAGTCTCCCACTCTACATCACAGAACACTGGGGTAGGTGAGTACTTCTCCAGTCTCCCACTCTACATCACAGAACACTGGGGTAGGTGAGTACTTCTCCAGTCTCCCACTCTACATCACAGAACACTGTGGTAGGTGTGTCTGTCTCGATCCTCCCTCTGACTCCCTCTCTACATCACAGAACACTGGGGTAGGTGTGTACTTCTCCAGTCTCCCACTCTACATCACAGAACACTGGGGTAGGTGTGTATGTCTCCAGTCTCCCACTCTACATCACAGAACATTGGGGTAGGTGTGTACGTCTCCAGTCTCCCACTCTACATCACAGAACACTGGGGTAGGTGAGTACTTCTCCAGTCTCCCACTCTACATCACAGAACACTGGGGTAGGTGTGTACGTCTCCAGACTCCCTCTCTACATCACAGAACACTGGGGTAGGTGTGTACTTCTCCAGTCTCCCACTCTACATCACAGAACACTGGGGTAGCTGGGTACGTCTCCAGTCTCCCACTCTACATCACAGAACACTGGTGTAGCTGGGTACGTCTCCAGTCTCCCTCTCTACATCACAGAACACTGGGGTAGGTGTGTATGTCTCCAGTCTCCCTCTCTACATCACAGAACACTGGGGTAGGTGTGTATGTCTCCAGTCTCCCTCTCTACATCACAGAATACTGGGGTAGGTGTGTATGTCTCCAGTCTTCCTCTCTACATCACAGAACACTGGGGTAGGTGTGTATGTCTCCAGTCTCCCTCTCTACATCACAGAACACTGGGGTAGGTGTGTACTTCTCTAGTCTCCCACTCTACATCACAGAACACTGGGGTAGCTGGGTACGTCTCCAGTCTCCCACTCTACATCACAGAACACTGGGGTAGGTGTGTATGTCTCCAGTCTCCCTCTCTACATCACAGAATACTGGGGTAGGTGTGTATGTCTCCAGTCTTCCTCTCTACATCACAGAACACTGGGGAAGCTGGGTACGTCTCCAGTCTCCCACTCTACATCACAGAACACTGGGGTAGGTGTGTACGTCTCCAGACTCCCTCTCTACATCACAGAACACTGGGGAAGCTGGTTACTTCTCCGGTCTCCCACTCTACATCACAGAACACTGGTGTAGCTGGGTATTTCTACAGTCTCCCTACATCACAGAACACTGGTGTAGCTGGGTATGTCTCCAGTCTCCCTACATCACAGAACACTGGTGTAGCTGGGTACGTCTCCAGTCTCCCACTCTACATCACAGAACACTGGTGTAGCTGGGTATGTCTCCAGTCTCCTACTTGACAATACAAATCACAGGGTACTTGTGACGACATCTAAGTGCTACCCTACCCTAGCGCCTGGTGCCCTGTAATTACTTCTCATTGGACAGCATGCAGGTACATATGTGATAATTTGGTATTCAAGTACACACGAAACATCATCTGTGCTGTTTTCAAATAAGTGAAAATTTGCATTAGAAGAAAAAGAATGATTTTGATATGAAAAAATTGCAATTTATACATCTTGTCTGCAACTCACAGACATGGTATGTTTAACAAATTAGTGATAGTGAAGTGCCAAGTGTCTGAAACAGTTAAAATTCACTTCATGATCTTGTCTTTAATTTATGCACATTGAAACAGCAATTATTTGACTGGTTATATTCTCATGAATTTTAAATAACACCAGTAATGAAAATTACCTTCTGTCTTTTCTCAACAAGGGAATTCTGGTCCCATTAAAATTTGGTTCACCCATGGACAGTTTTTCTCTGTCATTTTACAAACTAAAACATCAACTTGTTAAAGACTCCAACGTTTTAATGCTAAAGAAATATTTTAGTGATGCAAAGTTCTATTAAGCCAGGGTCTGTTTACGGTACGTGTGTTTTCGTTGAAATTCTGGGACACTGGCTCCACACAGTAATTTTACTGATCCCTCTGTGTCATTACCGTCCACACACTATACTTATAATATAATTACAGTATGCTATTGACGATGGTAATGTAACACCACTTCAAACACTTAGGAGCCAGAGTGAAAAAAAAAATATTCAGATTGCCATATAGGATGAAATGTCCTTCCATAATTGTGACAGCTACAGCAGGTAATTTTCCAGTTGAAATAATTTTGGAGTCATTTCCTTATCTAGGAAAAAATACCATTTTGCTCCTCCATTTGACAAAAACATTTCTATATCAAGTGAAATTAAATGGAACAATTTAGGGTCACTTTTTTATACTGACTCTATACAGTAATTAGATTTGATAATGAGAACTGTAACCCTAATCAATACCATACAGATTCACATGAAATGTGATGCGATCCATTACATTTTAAAATAATTAAGTGGCTTTATTTCTTTCAATTTTGAATACTTTTTTTATTTGTATTAAGTACTACTTTCCCGGTGTTAACCTTGTGTAAAGTAATATTACTGAATTTGTAGTTATACGAGATCCAAATTATTCTGACCTTACAAAACCTATAGTCTAAAGGTTTTTTTTTTAATAATACAATTAAAACATGTATCATGTAAGTAATGCTACATTTAGTAAGACTATATCTACCAGGTATTAGTTACAACAAAGCTGTAAGTTGAGGACAAAACCACAAACTATGATTCATACTGATAGAGATGCTATGTCATATCGTGGATCAATTCACGTTACCTTTAGTGTAAAATGACTTGCACCTTACAAAACTGTCACAACAAGCAAAACGTAAACAGTGAAGGAAAGGTGAGGGAAGAAGCTGGGGACTAAAACCTACCTTCTGGCGGTTCTTTAGTGCGACACACTGGGCAGGCATACCAAGAATCCATTAAAAAATACCATGCAACAGAAAAAGGAACAACATATAGGTCAAGGTTCTACATGTGACAAGGTGAAGGTCATATAACTATGTCAATATGGGTCAAGCCTAAAAGTGCCAGATGTGAGAGGATAACTATGTCACATATAACACCTACCCCAAGGCCAAAATATAACTGACCAATGGCTAGATATGGTATACCCTGAATATTACACCTGTCAATCATGCCTCAAACAATACATACCCTGAATTCATCTGCCATCATTTTCCCAAACATGGTATATACCTTAAATATCCAATCCATCACCCTTTCCCCATACACTATATACCTGGATACCCCACCTATCACCCTTTCCCCATACACTATATACCTGGATACCCTACCTGTCACCCTTTCCCCATACACGATATACCTGGGTATCCCACCCGTCACCCTTTCCCCATACACAATATACCTTAGTATTCCACCTGTCACCCTTTCCCCATACACAATATACCTGGGTATCCCACCTGTCACCCTTTCCCCATACACAATATACCTGGGTATCCCACCTGTCACCCTTTCCCCATACACAGTATTCCCTGCTTATCCCACCCGTCACCCTTTCCCCATACACAATATACCTTAGTATTCCACCTGTCACCCTTTCCCCATACACAATATACCTTAGTATTCCACCTATCACCCTTTCCCCATACACGATATACCTGGGTATCCCACCTGTCACCCTATCCCCATACACGATATACCTGTGTATCCCACCTATCAACCTTTCCCCATACACGATATACCTGGGTATCCCATCCTGTCACCCTTTCCCCATACACAATATACCTGGGTATCCCACTGGTCACCCTTTCCCCATACACAATATATCTCGGTATCCCACCCTATCACCCTTTCCCCATACACAATATACCTGGGTATCCCACTGTCACCCTTTCCCCATACACAATATACCTGGGTATCCCACCTGTCACCCTTTCCCCATACACAATATACCTGGGTATCCCACCAGTCACCCTTTCCCCATACACAATATACCTGGGTATCTCACCTGTCACCCATTCCCCATACACAATACACCTTGGTATCCCACCTGTCACCCTTTCCCCATACACGATATACCTGGGTATCTCACCTGTCACCCATTCCCCATACACCTTGGTATCCCACCTGTCACCCTTTCCCCATACATGATATACCTGGGTATCCCACCCGTCACCCTTTCCCCATACACGATATACCTGGTTATCCCACCTGTCACCCTTTCCCCATACACGATATACCTGGGTATCCCACCCCATCACCCTTTCAAGAAACATGTACACTATAGCTGTCTCATACTTGGTTCCCATTACCTGCATGCATCCCCAACGCACAGCACATGTACAATAATCAAAACACTGACATACATGCAGTCCATTAACACAATGTGCATGAAAGGTCAAACATAAATACAATAGATATGAATACATTAGAATTCATTGCATGCACTATTTTCATTATTTGTCATAAAGTTAAAAGTTACCTTTATAGTGTTATTATCACCTGAGTTCTGCAATAACACATCTGGGAGATATGATAATTATTTTTTTAGCATTAGTCATCAAAGACTTATTGATGAATACATTGTGTGTATTGATACTTTTTATATTAATTTTGTATGTGAAGAATACGGCTCCTCAATACAGTGTTTATCCGAAACATCTATACACATCATGTCAGCTGTTTATTGGGAGTATTACAGGTAAAGGGCAGATAAATACAATTTCCTGTTCATTTCTAGATATCATGTGTACAAAAAGACTGGTAAGTATGAAAAAAGAACTTTGCAATTATGTACAGACGTACAAAGAAAATTGATACTTCAAACGAAACCACCTCGCCCAAAATACAGCCTGCACGTTAACTTGGAATGAAGTGCATCTGTTTGATGTTTAAAATCAAAGAGAACAGGTAAGTCAATAAAAACGTATAGTAATATCATATACATGCTGAAAAAGGGGAGTATATCAACTCGAATGTAGAATAGGATCAATATAGAATTGGCAATCTTGTGTGTTATTTAAAGCTCAGGGCACCTGTTTTAGAAGTTAGCTTACCGTTATATTGGGTAGCACTATTATATTAAGGTAAATAACACAGTAAGTTATACAATACTGTAATTAAAAGTATGATATGGTCTAACTGGGATCTGTGTTAAAGTCCCTTTCACTTTGAGACGGCCCCTTGACCGGTCAGCGGACATTGCATGCCCCGGTATTCACCCCTGGGCCAAAAATGGCCCTACGGATCCCGAATGTCCGATACACTATAGTATCAAAAGAACGCTGCTAACAGTGTGATATTGCCAACTTACCATGCTTGCTTGCTTGTTTTCCCATCTTTGCATGCTGTTTCCATCAAAGTTTAAATTCTGTACAAGTATTCCAACACAAATTTGACGAAAATAACACGTTTTGAAGCTGCTATCTCCCACAATTTTAGTACAATCCACGAGTGGCTCTTCCACAATAATCGCACAACACATGAGTCTCTACACACTGTTCATGCGGAGGGCGGTACCGAAGGCGAATCCACACACGGTGATTGACAGCTGGACGAGTTCATTATCAAAAATATCAAAGGGAAGTCACAGCATATGTGTATTCGTGAAAATTATTGTTATCGTATTGTTTCAAAATCACGTTTATATTTTGAATATTTAACATACAAAAACGTACTAAGATATCTATGTTTCCGTATCTTACATATCTTCTGTCGATGAATAAAGAAAATATTTCTAAATAATTTGTCAAAATTACTTCCCGATTTCCCTATGCATTACTGTAACGAATACACTATGTTGGTTTCTCTTTGATCTCTCGTTCATAGCTATCTTCACTATGATTTTATTGGTTAAGCCAGTCAGCTATAATTCTCTTTGAAGTTGCCGCTAGGTAAATAATATTGCGATATTTAACCATGATATGAAGTCAATCTAGCAGAGGCATGTTGATGGGATCGAAGTAGAAAATGGGGGCCAATAGCTACAGTCTGAGAATGGCAAGCGTATTTTATTACTTAGGTTAGATTGCCCGAGATTTCTAGTCTACCAAAGGTATACTGTAGTCTACACACACAACATCAATAGTAACGTTTTAATACAATCCGAGTTAATGGCGAATGATACTAGACTGTCAAATTTTATCTTATCTTTACTCCAGCTAGTTTGTTATGTGCTTTGATGATAGACGGAGCGCGTAAACAATTCAACGTAAAAAGGATGTATATTACAAGTGATATAAAATACAAATAATTCATCTAAAACGGAATAAAAATTAATCTACGAAAAAATGACCAGGCAGTCTGGCCTGTTTACTGTCAATCAAAATATGTATATAGATCGTCAAACAAAACATGTATGTACATCATCAAACAAAATATGTATGTAGACCGTCTAACAAAATATGTATGTAGACCGTCTAACAAAATATGTATGTAGACAGACAAACAAAATATGTTTGTAGCGGACAGTCAAACAAAATATGTATGTAGACAGACAAACAAAATATGTTTGTAGCGGACCGTCAAACAAAATATGTATGTAAATCGTCAAATAAAATATGTATGTAGACAGACAAACAAAATATGTACGTAGACAGACAAACAAAATATGTATGTAGACCATCAATCAAAATATGTCTGTAGACCGCCAAACAAAAATTTAATATTTATGATTAATATCCAACAAAACATGCATTTATATCGTCAAAATATGTGTACATATAACATTATGTATTTTTCTGTATAATTTCCAATTATTAATTAAAAACATGTTTATATATAATCTGTTACCCTGTGAATTCTGCATATTCTTGATACCCTGGAATGTTTTCATTGGCTGCTCCAGTCAGAAATCGATTGTGATGTCATCAAATGCTTAATGATGTTACGTTATGACTGAAAATAGCGAAACAAAATGGCTGCCTCCGTTTGAGTTTAAGTACCATTTAACAACCTCCTTTCATGAAATACTTGGATAACTTTACAGAAAATATGTATGAGAAAAAAGGAATTTATATATTTGGAAATTTGTATATATGTATACAACACGACAAATGTGTTTCGATAACGATGTTAGATCTATATATACATTCGCCAAATGAAATATGTATTCTACCGTCACACAACAGATTTATATGTAACGTTACCAACAAATTAAGTGTATAGGTGTATCATCAAACAAACTATGTATTGTTTGTTAGTTGTTGATCGGGAGACCGTAGTCAACGATATCGGGAGTAGCACGATGTACCAGCACGATGTACCTGGAGGAACATGATGTACCTGGAGGAACACGATGTACCTGGAGGAACATGATGTACCAGATTGGGAGGAACACGATGTACCTGGAGGAACATGATGTACCAGATTGAGAGCAACATGATGTACAAGATTGTGAGGAACACGATGTACCTGGAGGAACATGATGTACCAGATTGAGAGGAACATGATGTACCAGATTGTAAGGAACATGATGTACCAGATTGTAAGGCACACGATGTACCAGATTGTAAGGAACACGATGTACCAGATTGGGAGGAATACGATGTACCAGATTGTAAGGAACACGATGTACCAGATTGTAAGAAATACGATGTACCAGATTGTAAGGAACATGATGTACCAGATTGTAAGGAATACGATGTACCAGATTGGGAGGAATACGATGTACCAGATTGTAAGGAACATGATGTACCAGATTGTAAGGAACACGATGTACCAGATTGGGAGGAATACGATGTACCAGATTGTAAGGAACACGATGTACCAGATTGTAAGGCACACGATGTACCAGATTGTAAGGAACACGATGTACCAGATTGGGAGGAATACGATGTACCAGATTGTAAGGAACACGATGTACCAGATTGGGAGGAATACGATGTACCAGATTGTAAGGAACACGATGTACCAGATTGTAAGGAACACGATGTACCAGATTGTAAGGAACACGATGTACCAGATTGTAAGGAACACGATGTACCAGATTGTAAGGAACATGATGTACCAGATTGTAAGGAATACGATGTACCAGATTGTAAGGAATACGATGTACCAGATTGTAAGGAACACGATGTACCAGATTGTAAGGAATACGATGTACCAGATTGTAAGGCACACGATGTACCAGATTGTAAGGAACACGATGTACCAGATTGTAAGGAATACGATTTACCAGATTGTAAGGAACACGATGTACCAGATTGTAAGGAACACGATGTACCAGATTGTAAGGAACACGATGTACCAGATTGTAAGGAACACGATGTACCAGATTGTAAGGAACACGATGTACCTGGAGGAACATGATGTACCAGATTGAGAGGAACATGATGTACCAGATTGAGAGGAACAGGATGTACCAGATTGTAAGGAACATGATGTACCAGATTGTAAGGAACACGATGTACCAGATTGAGAGGAACACGATGTACCAGATTGTAAGGAACATGATGTACTAGATTGTAAGGAACATGATGTACCAGATTGAGAGGAACACGATGTACCAGATTGTAAGGCACACGATGTACCTGGAGGAACATGATGTACCAGATTGAGAGGAACATGATGTACCAGATTGGGAGGAACACGATGTACCAGATTGTAAGGAACATGATGTACCAGATTGTAAGGAACACGATGTACCAGATTGTAAGGAAGACGATGTACCAGATTGTAAGGAACACGATGTACCTGGAGGAACATGATGTACCAGATTGAGAGGAACATGATGTACCAGATTGAGAGGAACACGATGTACCAGATTGTAAGGAACATGATGTACCAGATTGTAAGGAACACGATGTACCAGATTGGGAGGAACACGATGTACCAGATTGTAAGGAACACGATGTACCTGGAGGAACATGATGTACCAGATTGAGAGGAACATGATGTACCAGATTGGGAGGAACACGATGTACCAGATTGTAAGGAACACGATGTACCAGATTGTAAGGAACATGATGTACCAGATTGTAAGGAACACGATGTACCAGATTGTAAGGAACACGATGTACCAGATTGTAAGGAACACGATGTACCAGATTGTAAGGAATACGATGTACCAGATTGTAAGGAACATGATGTAGCAGATTGGGAGGAACACGATGTACCAGATTGAGAGGAATACGATGTACCAGATTGTAAGGAACACGATGTACCAGATTGTAAGGAACACGATGTACCAGATTGTAAGGAACACGTTGTACCAGATTGGGAGGAATACGATGTACCAGATTGTAAGGAACACGATGTACCAGATTGTAAGGAACACGACGTACCAGATTGTAAGGAACACGATGTACCAGGGAGGAATACGATGTACCAGATTGTAAGGAACACGATGTACCATATTGTAAGGAACACGATGTACCAGATTGGGAGGAATACGATGTACCAGATTGTAAGGAATACGATGTACCAGATTGTAAGGAACACGATGTACCAGATTGTAAGGAACACGATGTACCAGATTGTAAGGAACACGATGTACCAGATTGTAAGGAACACGATGTACCAGATTGTGAGGAACATGATGTACCAGATTGGGAGGAATACGATGTACCAGATTGTAAGGAACACGATGTACCAGATTGAGAGGAACATGATGTACCAGATTGTAAGGAACACGATGTACCAGATTGTAAGGAACATGATGTACCAGATTGGGAGGAACACGATGTAGCAGATTGAGAGGAACATGATGTACCAGATTGTAAGGAACACGATGTACCAGATTGTAAGGAACATGATGTACCAGATTGAGAGGAACACGATGTAGCAGATTGAGAGGAACAAGATGTACCAGATTGGGAGGAACACGATATACCAGATTGGGAGGAGCACGTGTTCTCTCGGTCTGCTAAACAAAACACGTTCGATCTGCTCCTGTCGTTCTGGTACACAACGCTGCTGCCGTTCGGGTTCACCATACACCTGTCGTTCTGGTACAACATGCTCCTGTTGGTATGGTACACCATGTCCCTGTTGTTATGGTACACCATGGAACTGTTGTTATGGTACACCATGCCAATGTCGTTCTGGTACAACATGCTCCTGCTGGTATGGTACACCATGTCCCTGTTGTTATGGTACACCATGGAACTGTTGTTATGGTACACCATGGAACTGTTGTTATGGTACACCATGCCCCTGTTGTTATGGTACATCATGCCCCTGTTGTTATGGTACACCATGCCCCTGTTGTTATGGTACACCATGTCCCTGTTGTTATGGTACACCATGCCCCTGTTGTTATGGTACACCATGCCCCTGTTGTTATGGTAACACCATGAACAGGATGGTATGGTACATAGAGGCCCTGTTGTTATGGTACATCATGCCCCTGTTGTTATGGTACGCCATGCCCCTGTTGTTATGGTACACCATGTCCCTGTTGGTATGGTACATTGTGGCCCTGTTGTTATGGTACACCATGCCCCTGTTGTTATGGTACGTGATGCCCCTGTTGTTATGGTACGCCATGCCCCTGTTGTTATAGTACATCATGCCCCTGTTGTTATGGTACACCATGGAACTGTTGTTATGGTACACCATGCAAATGTCGTTCTGGTACAACATGCTCCTGTTGGTATGGTACACCATGTCCCTGTTGTTATGGTACGCCATGTCCCTGTTGTTATGGTACACCATGCCCCAGTTGTTATGGTACACCATGCCCATGTTGTTATGGTACGTCATGCCCCTGTTGTTATGGTACACCGTGCTCCTTTAGTCTGGTACACCATGCCCCAGTTGTTATGGTACACCATGCCCATGTTGTTATGGTACACCATGGCCCCGTTGTTATGGTACACCATGCCCCTGTTGTTATGGTACGTCATGCCCCATTGTTATGGTACACCATGCCCCTGTTGTTATGGTACATCATGCCCCTGTTGTTATTGGATGTCATGCCCCTGTTGTTATGGTACACCATGTCCCTGTTGTTATGGTACACCATGCCTCTGTTGTTATGGTACACCATGTCCCTGTTGTTATGGTACACCATGCCCCTGTTGTTATGGTACACCATGTCCCTGTTGTTATGGTACACCATGGCCCCGTTATTATGGTACACCATGTCCCTTTTGGTATGGTACATTGTGGCCCTGTTGCTATGGTACATCATGCCCCTGTTGTTATGGTACGCCATGCCCCTGTTGTTATGGTACACCATGTCCCTGTTGGTATGGTACATTGTGGCCCTGTTGTTATGGTACACCATGCCCCTGTTGTTATGGTACGTGATGCCCCTGTTGTTATGGTACGCCATGCCCCTGTTGTTATGGTACACCATGTCCCTGTTGGTATGGTACATTGTGGCCCTGTTGCTATGGTACACCATGCCCCTGTTGTTATGGTACACCATGTCCCTGTTGGTATGGTACATTGTGGCCCTGTTGCTATGGTACATCAGGATCCTTCAATCTGTTACACCGCGTTAATTAAGTAATAGAAAACGATAATTAAACAATTATTATTTAACTTATCCTTATTTGTCATTTCTCTCCTGATACATATCAAATGTTACCAATTTTCATAAATATTATATATTCTATCCGGAGATTCATCATCACATACCATTTTATCGGACAGTTTTAGTAGGAATGTTAGATGTCCCAAAAATCTAAGGATAATTTAATCTAAACCTAAGTGAATATGTTGATCAAGATTCACTGACATTTTTATTTCGTTTTCGGGAATATTTCACATCGACACTGTAAATGTAAATGTGCAAATGAGAGTTGTCAGAAAATATACCATATATAGGACCCGGCGGAAGCGGATGAACAGATATGTAAAATAAATAAATAAATAAATAAATAGAAATGGCTTTCACACTGCGTCGGCAATAAGGCATCGATACACTCTTCACTAAATAAATGACGAATACAGGCGAGATTTACATTTCTTGTAACACGTGGCTGTTTATGATTAAGTGATTCCACTGTATGTCAAGTTATGACTATCTTTATCATTACACAAATACATAGCAAAGTGCATAATTATGTTTTGAATATTAAATTCTTTTGTTCTTTGAACAATAAATGCATAATGCAAATTGAGGCAGCGTTTATCAGAATGTTTAAAATAATTTTCATGTCAGTTATTCCTATAAATTTCCAATCTTATCTACAGTATTCAAATGTTCGTCAATTATATTTCGCCGTTATCATTCATCAGTCAGTTTAAGGAACATTAGAGAAGGTTGTATTTGGAGATAGCTGTGTGTGATAGGCTGATAATAACACATCCAGTTAAATTACATATATTGATATTAAAGTTTTAATATCGTCTAAAATACCGTGTAATGTAGTACTCAATTTTACGACCCGAAGTGGCGACTGTTAAAGTAATGAAAGCAATAAAAGCGGTTTCTTTTTTATATCTTGTGTGAGGTACCAGCTCACTATTCCTGTTTCAGAGGACTTAGATTCTGTGTATTATTGTCGACTGAATTGCCCAATCAAGCCTTCATGATCGTCATTTTAACTCCTACTACTATTAAATGAGTGTGACAATTGTGGTTTCAGAAATGCACTTTATGTAACGTGGAGCTGCAGGTCTCAGTAGATACATCGCTCCTTTCTTAGACAGGAAAATAACATAATATCATTTGTTTCACATTTCACACCACAATATTTTAATGAAATTCTTAGCCAGTTTTCGTGTAATAAGAAATTCCTGTTTATACCCGGGGCTTCGATGACGTCACAGGATTAAATGATATGGGATGATTAATGATGTAAATAAACGTTGTGATGTTACGTATTTATTACTTTGTCCTTCCCTACCTAGTCTCTATCGCTGCTAGTCTCTGCGTTTGAACCGTACTAAGGGTGAATGACATTGTGGCAATTGTCGCCTTTCTCGTGTCATGACGACAAGAGTTTCACTGACCTCGCCATCTGATCTGATCTATGGCGATAAACTTTTCCGTTGTTTTTTTTTTTATCTGTTCTTACAACATAAGGAACATTTTTCCTGTTACAAACTTGCTTCGCCACCAACTGTGTTTAAGGCTTGTTTCCACTCTCTCGACTTCCGCGGTAGATGTCTACTTCTGATGGGGAAAAACTTGTTCTCTTTCATCGTAAGCGTGCATTGTCGTTTCGTTGAGAATGGATAATACCTTCGTTTGACATAAATGGCAGTTGTCGTCGCGGAGAAAAAATTCGTACTCTTCAGTAACACTTAATGCCACTGTTATTTTTAATCGTATCTGCCCTTGTGTCGATTTGATAAACACGTCGATGTTTTGTTTTTATCATATTTTCGTTCTGTTGGTAATCATTCATGTCTCTTGGCAGCATCATCGTTATCACTAATGTTAAGGAAGATCGGTAAAACCTTATTTAGGACACCTGGATCCCCAAAATATGGTGTCGCTGTTGATCGATTTTCACAATTTTCTTGCAAGACGTCGTCAACCGGCGAACAAACTCGTAACGCAGGGTTTACACAGATGCAGGTTGATGGAAATTATAAGGAGGTTTAGGTCGTTAGAGTGATCTCATTGAGGAATATTCTCTGAAGCTGGATATGTTTGATGCTCATTTGCTTGTTAGTTCCGTTGTTGTATACCTCTTTAATATTTGAGAACGTGGCATTACGGACCAAGGTTTACATGGCGGATGCCGTCGATGAAGCAGAAGACGCCTACACTTTCGGAACACATGGTCTTTTTCACCTTGTACTTTTCATGAGTATCCGTGTAAATCTTTTTTTGTTCATATATTATCATAGTTTTATTGAATTTGAGTTTGGATTATGATTGTGTAAGTATGATGGAATTGTCTTACATTATTTTCTACATCTTAGGTGCTTACATAATTATGGATTTTATACAATATACCGTATATTTTATACAATGTACTGTGGCTCTTATACATACATTGTACTGTCGATTTTGTACATTGTACTGTCGATTTTGTACATTGTACTGTCGATTTTATACATTGTACTGTCGATTTCATACATTGTACTGTGAATTTCATACATTGTGCTGTGAATTTTATACATTGTACTGTCGATTTTATACATTGTACTGTCGATTTTATACACATATTGTACTGTCGATTTTATACATTGTACTGTCGATTTTATACATTGTACTGTGTATTTTATACATTGTACTGTCGATTTTATACATTGTACTGTGTATTTTATACATTGTACTGTCGATTTTATACATTGTACTGTCGATTTTGTACATTGTACTGTCGATTTTATACATTGTACTGTGTATTTTATACATTGTACTGTCGATTTTATACATTGTACTGTAGATTTTACTGTCGATTTTATACATTGTACTGTCGATTTTATACATTGTACTGTGTATTTTATACATTGTACTGTCGATTTTATACATTGTACTGTGTATTTTATACATTGTACTGTCGATTTCATACACTGTACTGTCGATTTTATACATACATTGTACTGTCGACTTCATACATTGTACTGTCAATTTCATACACTGTACTGTCGATTTCATACATTGTACTGTGAATTTCATACATTGTGCTGTGAATTTTATACATTGTACTGTCGATTTTCTACATTGTACTGTCGAATTTATACATTGTACT